CAAAAACTAAATGGGATCACATGTTCAAATCTAACATCAAACTCACTTTGGACCGATGTTAGGTTATGCATTTTGGAAGGTCAAGTACAGATGGAAATTATACGGTAGAACCCTTAGGACTATTGATATGTAGAGGGATCTGGGTGTGCAGGTCCACAGATCACTGAAGGTGGCAGTGCAGGTAGATAAGGCATTAAAAAAGGCCTATGGCATGCTTACCTTCATTGGAAGGGGCATTGAGTATGAAGATAGGCAAGTTATGCAGCAGCTCTACAGAACTTTAGTTAGGCCGCACTTGGAATATTGGGTACAGTTCTGGTCACCACACTACCAGAAGGATGTGGATGCTTCGGAGAGGGTACAGAAAAGGTTTACCAGGATGTTGCCTGGTATAGGGGATTTTAGGGATGAAGAAAGGTTGGATAGACTGGGTTTGTTTTCACTGGAATGCAGGAGGTTGAGGGGCGACCTGATAGAAGTTTATAAGTTTGTGAATGGTATGGATAGAGTGGAAAGTATGTGGCTTTTTCCCAGGGTGGAGGGGTCAGTTATGAGGGGACACAGGGTCAAGGTGTTTGGGGGTGGATGTTTAAAAGAGATGTGCGAGGCATGTTTTTCACACAAAGTGGGAGTGAGTGCCTGGAACGCGCTGCCAAAGGAGGTAGAGGAAGCAGACACAATAGCAGGATTCAAGAAACACTTGGACGAATACACAAATAGGAAGGTGATAGAGGGATACGGATCCTGTAAGTGAAGACAGTTTTAGTATGGAAGGGCAAAATGTGTCAGTACAGGCTTGAAGGGGCTGAAAGGCCTGTCCCTGTGCTGTATTGATCTTTGTTCTATCTAAAGCCAGTTTAAACGTTTATCATAGTTTTCTGCTGGCAGGTAATATTCAGACAAGTAAGATGACATCGCCATGTTTCCCCTCTCTCATTAGAGAGACTGAGACATTATTGGAGAGGAAGGGAACTGGTGGTGGTTTAAACTGAGGGTCACCATGTCTTAGGTGAGGACAAAGATGGAGAAGCCAGAACTTAGTGGTAACTTCTGCCAGCATCATTACTACCCTCTAATTGTGAAATCTCATAAAGTTCTGTCACTGTTACCACACTGAACTTGTGATAAATCGATTGGCAATCATTATGTTTTAGACACAATCACAATAGGGTGAGCACTAACTACTGTGATTTATTTCAATAATACAATTGTCAACTGGGGGCCTGAATTCTTCCTTCAGTTCAGCTAATTTCCCTGGGTTGAGTCTGTAATGATGTTGATTTATGGGTAAAGCATCTCCTATATTAACATCTTACACGGTCCACATTGTATTTACCGTGAAGCATGAGAATTTCTCCTGTCTTATTTATGATTCTGTAACAGCTTTTATAAGTCTGTTCTGGGAGATAGCATAATATTTCATAATACTCAAAGCTTTTAAGCTCCTCTGTGTTATACAATTTGATTACAGGAGGGTTGACTTTTAAATTTGCAATTTCTGATTCGGTTTCTCATCATTCTGATGTTTTCATTTTACATCCATTTATGCCACCACTATTTCACTGCCTCCCCCCATCTTAGTATTTCCCCCATCCATTAACATTGCACACTCACTGAATCATCCTTCTGTCTGGAGAACTCACCGCTTACTTCACATTATTGAGTTTCTTTTTGATTTGGTAAGTTGCAGCGAGCATTGTTTTTAATGGATCCTCAAGAGACAGGGAACAATACACGAGCCTTTACTCCAAAAACGTAATTTTGCACATTGGCCTTTTTATCAGCTCTAGCTTTCATTGTTTGTTGAACATTTTTCAAATTCATTTTGGGTAACTCCTACTTTGATTAGCTTTTACTTCTGAAACTGACACATAGTTTGAAAGTATAGTCTCTGAGCTTTGATTTGTAACTTTTTCTTCAATCAATTTAAGGTTTCCTCACAACTCATGTCCATATTATTAGTTCAAATGGACTGATCTGTGGACTCATTAGGTGCATCCCTAATGGCAAACTGTAACAAGAGTATTCTTCAAGTCCAATCATCAAGATGTGGCTGGCGATAAGTTCCAATCATGTTCTTTTAAAGTTTGAGGGATGCTTTTCTGACTGGAGGCCCGCGATCAGCGGTGTTCCTCAAGGATCAGTGGGACCTCCGTTGTTTGTAATAAATATGAATGATTCGGATGAAAATGTAGGCGGTCTAATTAGTAATTTTGCAGACAACATGAACATTGGTGGGTTTTGTGGATAGTGAAGAAGGATATCAAAGGATACAGCAGGATATAGATCACCTGGAAAGTTGGGTGGAAAAATGGCAGATGGAGTTTAATCCAGACAAGTGTGAGTTGATAAGGTGTAGAGCTGGAGGAACACAGTAGGCCAGGCAGCATCAGAGGAGCAGGAAAGCTGATGTTTCGGGTCTGGACCCTTCTTCAGAAATGGGGGAGGGGAAGGGATACATTTTTGGAGGTCAAACGCAAGAGGGAAGTA